CCTATAGAACTCTCTACTCAAGTTCTGTTTGCCCAGATGGCCGGTATTGAGAGCAGCTGTGCTCACAAGAGGGGTGTGGAGAAAATGATGCAGACACTCTACCCTGCATGTATGAAGGTCTCGATGGAAAAAAGGGCTGTCACTGGTACATTTTTAGGGTCATCTTCTATCCTCAAGCATTACAAATGCCTTCCTCAATACTCCATCTACCAAATGTTCCATTTTTATGTTGGTTTCTCTGATTCTGCTTTTTTAAAAATAGATTTTTAAAGAGCTGCTTTAGGTTCGCAGCACCCAGTTCCATTGTGAGCCTGATTTTCCCTGTCTACTCTGAAATGAAACCAAGTGGCTCTAATGACTTTGAAAATAAAAGCCTGCTAATAAGGCAAAAACTAAAAGGTGTCATGTCTCCCCACCAAGCTGAAACCTTCAAGAGGGCGGGGTTCCAATGTTTTAGTCATCCCTGAATCCTCAGAGTTGACAAGTGCTTAGCATATAGGCACTCATTGTTCGATGAATGAATCAAAGTAGTAGTACAAATTCTTGTTCAAAGACACATATTGCATAGCCTTTAAGAGTACCAATTTCCTTTCAAATACGTAAGATTCTCTTGAACATTTCTCTCCCTTAATCAGCACACTGATGGCACAACAAAGAACGTAACAGCTAAAAACAGTTTCTGGTACATGTGATGCAGAATCCTTTTCTTTTTGCCAACAGGGTGTCCCACCCTCCGGTGCCCAGCTTAAGAGTACAGTGACATCAGGCTGGCCCATAGCAACCTCAAAACTCCAGGGTTCAAGTGATCCTCCTGGCTAAGCCTCCCAAATGGCTGGGACCACAGGTCTGAGCCACTACGCCCAGGTTATTTTTTAATTTTTGGTAGAGACATGGACCCTCTTGCTATGTTGCTCAAGCTCAGAAATAGATATTCTTAATCCTCTATATAGGGAAAGCTAATGATTTGAATATGGGTTTTCAACTCAAAATGGTAAGCCTGAGGACCACTTTATGCAAGCCCTCCATCTACAGGGGGGCTATCTTCAAATCTTTCCCCTAATACTCCCACTTTCATTCCCCATCCAAATCAGATGCCTCTGCTATTCAGAGAAACTAAGGCACAAAAGAAAATCAAGTACACCAAAGGTTTACCCCTAAGTTCATTCATTTATTCAATGAACTCCTAGTAACACCTCTTGAGAGACCACTAAGATAGAAAAATTGAGCCATAATCTTACATTTCCAGTTCCCAAGGACAAGTTTTCAATTTATTTTGTTGTTGATAGGAATTGACATTAGTTCCCAGGGAAAAAAAAGTAATTATTATATTATAGGACCCCTAACATGAATGGTTAACATTCATCTTCTAGGAAGGGAAACTCTTGATAACTTTGTCTATTTCAGCCAGACTATACTAACTCACCAAATTCAAAACAGAAATTTGGCTTTTTGGTGATTATTTGTGCTAGAAAACGGTAGAATGCATAATCTGATCGGCTTCTCTTAGGATGCATGGCCAGTGATCATCAGTTTGAAATATGCAGCAGTTCAATTATCCTGCTCACCCTCACTGCAGGCAGCAGACAGATAGGACGAGGCAATCAGAACACACTGCAACTTTTCTGGCCAGTGATTTGCATGGCTGTTTGCTATATACATGGTGGGATAAAGACCACCGTAAGTGAAGGTTTATCTATGGATATAAAAAATTGCTCGGCTTTTAATCTATATAAAATTGACTATATCTGTCAATCACCATATATGTATATGATTAGCTTACACGTGTATATATAGACGTGAGCTAAAAGGTTAAACTAAAATTTTTATGGCTTTCACTGAGATAGCTATGGTAGGGGAAGAATAGGCATGTTCCTCTGCTTTCTATAGTATCAGTGACATGAAACCTTGTATTCCATTTCTATGCACCCTTTTGCTAGAGAAATGCTTTGGAAAAAAACGTACACGGGTGCGTCTCCCTTCAGTACACACGGAGACCAGAAGCTCTAGAAAGTGCTGTAAGCAGTGAGGCAGGGGAGTTTCTAACACATGCACTCACCAGCTACCCAGCTTCCTTTGCCAAGCACCTGTTACTAGCTAAAGCCCAAACCGTGGGATGAACTTAAAGCTGTTGGCTGACTGGAGGCCTGAAGAGAACAACTGGAAATACAGTAGAACCAGCACAGTCAACCACCTCCTTAAGTTGACCTAACTTTCATAGACTGGACATGCACCACATCTACATAGGGTCCAGGAGGCCTGGTTCCTTATGTTGCAGTCCCTTGGGTGGTCAACTTACAGAGGTCCTACTATAGTCCTTAATGGAGTTAATAAGCAAAATCTATCGCCTAGGTATAGCTACTGCCTGGTTACCGGGACACCCTTCTGCGTGGGAACCACTTAATGGAAATAGCACAAGTTATACAGGAAAATCTCTTTGGATGAATAAATAGAGACCACCCTGGAGGTTAGTGCTAACCACAGAAGCACCCACTACTGGTTATGGTAAAGGAGCCGTCCAGTAAAGCTGCTTGTTACTGGCCATGGCCGGCTATTATCAGTTCTGTTGGCAACCATAGGCCTTAACAATGATTTTATTTGATTTTTAGAAATTAACCTGTAATCTATTTCTGGAGCACTTGAAATATTAAATATTGAATAAAAACAGACAATGAAGGTTTACTAAGTAATATTTCTTATTATCTTTTGCATTCTAGAACTGCTAAATTTAAAAGTCAACCAAAATCCTAATAGTGTTAACCATTTCATTTTTATATAAATGATGGACAAGTATGATTTTAAAAATCAAAAACAATTATGAAAAAAAAATAATGGTGAGAGCTGGGTGCAGTAGTATGCTATGAGGCCAGGAGTTCAGCTGGGCAACACAGCGAGAGCCTATTTTCATTTAAAAAAAAAAAAAAAAAAAAGACAAAAAGGGACAAGGACATGGATATTTGGCAAGTGGGTTAAGCTCATTCTGCATATTCCTAATGAAGATACGTGTGTAACTATAGATCTATTCAATTTTCTCCTAAAAATAAATATACACACATCAAAAGCTATCCTAAGGAAATCTTTTCCAGACTGGTATTGTATGTTCCACCTGGGACTGTTTCCCAAATCTCCATGTTGTAAAAATTCAGTGGCCATGCTGCAGAACGGTGTGCCAAGGTAGGTTCTGCTCATACTGAAAACTAAGGCCCATCTTACACAGAGGCCTTGTGGGAGGAATCTATTGTATGGATAAGTCTCCTGACCCCCATTCGACCCACCCCATGGTTCCAAAGATTTATAAGCTTAGAATACATTCCCACCCACCACTCATAAAGCAAATACAGGGCCCCATGGCATTGTCACTAGATTTTGCTTCAATTGTAGCACCAACTACTTAATTACAATCACAGCTCTGAGAGTCAGCTGACAGAATCCTATTAAGCAATTTCCTAGTGCTTCTTACATCTTTGGTGTAGGGCAGACAAAAGGTCTATAATACGTGATTGTCTTAAAGACAACCTGGCTGACCTGCTGTTCAGAGTGCCTTCTGGAACTAAACTCCTTCCGTCACCCATTTCGTAACTTCAGAAGGATCATGATGAGTCCGCGGCTTGCCACCACGTCAATGAAGTCTCATAGCTCACAGACAAACATCATAGCAAAAGAAAAGAGGAGGATAGGTTAGAAGAAAAATATCTCTAAATTAAAATTTCAAAAACTCCTGAGATATGAGCCTCCATTTTGATTGTGCTCAATGACGTAAAATTTAATAGAAAGAACACACTTTCAAAGAGTCAGACTTAAGACAAAGTCATTTAACACTAAGTTGAGAAATCACTCTTTCAAAATCTGTTTTAAGCATGTTAGAAACTACAACCTGGAATCAGAAATTATCATTCTCAAAATTCTTTTCAATAAAACCAAGACTTCAGATTCCTGATCAGCACCCTAAGAGATCAGTTTATATTCTAGGGAAGAATCACCTAAAACCTATCCAGTAGGATTATTGCACAGTGGGACCCACAGGACAATGATTTCCAAGGGCTAGTCCTTATACAAAAAAAGGCCACAATAAATACATCTATATATATCATGCCCCACTCTAACTTGACATGGTAAACACAAATATGATGAATCTTGCTTTAAAATGAAACTCCTGAGTAAAGAAAGGGATGGAAAAATCTACCAAGGCCACTTAGAAACTACAATTACTATTTCCACTGCCATGAAGTACACTCACCAAAATATACTGACCATTCCAAGCACCAAGATGAACCAGTGACAAGGTTATCACACTTCAGTGTTTCACTCAGATCACAGCTCAAACCGAGCTTTTAAAGAACTTCCTAGTAGATGAGATTTGAAAGGAAATAAACTGCTGGTAATCAACCTATTAGCTGAACTTAAGTTCATCACTAGTCATTAAGGGTTGGGGTGCTATCCGTGAGATGCTAGCAAACCCAGTATCTAGTAAATTCCAGTGTTTAAGCCACTGTTTTTCTCTCACAGTTCTTGACATCTACAAATGGAATTACTGTTGGTTTTGTTTTTCTTCTTTGATCTGGGTAGCACCATGTTCCACTCTAATGGTAATTTCCCCACAACGTCCCGCTTAAGGTAATAAATATATTTGGCAATCCACACAGAAGCCTGTGATACACAATGTGAATCAAGTTTTAAACCCTCCCACTCATCCTATTAAAATGTCAAATCCTAAGCACACAAATAAAAACATACCACTCTAGGAGATATTATTCAATTATTCTTCAATTTCCTGTTATAATTGATGAATCATAATACACAGAGCACTGGGTATAATTCCAAACACCCAACTATGCGGTCAAAAATTTCTACGTTGACAACTGAATCAACAAGCCATACCTCGTCAACAGCACAGACACACAGCTACAGTGTGGAGTTGGTCTGTTTTTAACTGCATAGGTGCTGGGATTCTCATGGCTTCTGCTTTTCAAAGCATTAACTCTCGTTCTAAAATGGTATGCTATACACAAAACCATCCATTTTATTCCAGAATACATCATCTTAATGAGAATAAAAAGCTTCATATGCACATACTGCCAACACATTTAAAAAGGCCCAAATTTTAACAAATAGAATAGACAAATTCATCAGACAAGAGATCATAAATTACTTTGGCCGAAAAAAATCTTTAAAAAAAAAAATCTGGCTCAACATTCTGCTTGCAGGTTTCTACATATACTGTATACATGGTGAGTGTGTATGTGTCTGTGTATAGAGAGAGAGAACTTTTTTTTTTTTTTTTTTAAGGGAATGGAGTATGGTCTAGCCCACTTTCCCATAGTTATGTAGGAACTACAATGTTCTTTGCTAGCAAAACAAGAAGTGCAAGGTCTGCATTTCCACCAACTCGATGCAAAGCCCCAAGAGCTTCCTGCAAAGTAAAGCCTGCACGGAGAATCCGGTCAATATCTGCAGCAGGAAAAATGAATGGTGGAAGAATGGAGGGACTTGACAGCTGGCTGGTAGGTGGTGGTTCATATTCAAGAAATGGCCTCACAGCTTCAGGACAGACACTTCCTCTGGTTTCAGGGCTGTCTGTTACTGGATTCTGTACGCCGTGACCCAGGTCTTTTACCAATATGAAACTGGATGACAAAGATTTAGTTTGCTCAGAAGTCTGATTGAGCACATCCTCCTCACCTGCTAAAAGTCTGGGTGACGTTTCTACACCTAAGGTACAGTGTAATTCATTAGACATTTCAGCTGAGGTTACAGTGACAGAACTGCTCTCGTTTACTGATTCCCTAGATCTGGGAACATCTTCCTTATCAGCTGGCAGGTCATCACCTGGATGCCTTAAGTTTATATTTTCTCTATCTTCCTGTCCAGTGCCAGCGGAAGTGCCAGTTAATCTTTCCGTCCTCACTGATATAGATATGGCCTGATGGAAGGAGACTTGTGGACACTGTTCATTCTGTGTAAGATGCGCATTTTGGGTGCGTATTTCAGAAAGGTCCTTAATACCAGTTTGGTCATCTCCTACTGTTTCTGATGAACAGATAACTTCTTCAGATGTATTTTGTGAAACTGGTTTATTACTAATAACCAGAAGTTCATGAAGTTCTTTCAAGGCTGCTGTTACAGACGAACAAGATTCTTCTGCTGACTCCATAAAGGGCTGACAATTGCCACTGATACCTGAAGAGGGGGAATAATTGTCATATTCTTTATTTGTTCCAGTCATTTCAGTTTTACTTTGTGGGGACTGTAAATCTTGAATGGAAATGGAATTATTCAAAATTTCAGATGAGGGGTTACATTTTAATGTTTCTACTTCCATCAAGGGATTATCTAAAGTAAGATCGGACGCACTGATGTTCTTGCCGTCAGTATCCTGACTGCCTGCTGAATTAAGCACAGCAGGTAGGGACTGTTCAACAATATCTATTTCCATAAGTGTTTCTGAATTTGAGCAGCCAAAACATCCTGAAGGTAGACTACTTTTCTTTGTACTTGGAAGATCCACATTCTGCTGCAGCCCATCTCCTTTCACAGTAGCTTCTAAATCAACAGTTTTTTGTTGGTTCTGTTCCCTTTCCCCAGGAAGTTCAAGGTCCCCTATGTCACAGAGATGTCCTTGGTCACATGGAGCATTCTGTTGCACAACCTCATATGGTTTATTCCCTGGTTCTTCATGCTGCTGAAGGCCATTCGCTTGAGTCAGGTTCTGATTTTCTGGAGGCCAATCTTTTTTGCCTAGAAACATTTGCGGTCCATGCATCCCAGTAGATGTGACGGATAAATTAGCTTCCTGTCTTATATGGAGATGAAATTTGAGGCCCTGGGTGTTTTTATTAGCAGATGTCTCCAGAATATCTGCAACAACTGCTTCTTCAGGAGAATTCTGCAAAGGCATAGCTGAACTCTGGTCTGCTGGAGCATGGTCTACTGAAGAAGCATGATCAGAATGATTCTGCAGAGGAAGATGTTCTTTCTTTTTGGAATTTGTCTGGAATTCAGCTGAAGCCTCCAAAGCCTTCACAGTTTTAGGGTCGATGCTATCTGGGTCACTGGGCTTGACAGGGCAGACTGAAGCAGAGACAGAGCGAGAAGGACTCGTCGGATTACCAATTTCAGTACTCTGTCCTGAAGGATGGGCTGGATGGTTAAATCCATCTGAAGTTGGTAATGATGACATTCCCAGTGAGGTAGATTCTTTACCACTTTTCTCTATATGGAACAAAAGAGAAAATTAAAAAGATTAATTAGCAGTTAACTAAGGCCACTGAATTCTCAGAGGATACAAATCTAAACAGCACAGAATAAACAGGTCCTTAAACTTCGGATTCTCTTATTATACTAGACATGATTTTAAAAATACAAGAATCATTGTGCTGGTTTTAAAAAACAGAGGGAAAGAAACACACAGAAACGTTTTTATTATGATAGATAACTTACTAGCATCAGAATAAGAGGCAGGCACGTTCTTAATAAAACATGCACATTGCAATTCAGTATGATGAAGCACCATTAGCATGCATTCACATAATGGCTGAGGTAGTGTTCAAGCCTAAAAGACATTTATGTACCTTTACTCCTGGTGAATCTACTCTAAAATAGTTTCTTCAAGTGTATTTGCTTCACCACTTGCCCTAAAATCAGCCGAGATGCTTGTTAAGGACACAAACTTTGGAGTAACTTGGGAATAAAGCCTGGAATTTGTATTTTCAAAAAACTCCCTGAATGATGTTTAACAACATTATAAATCTTGAGAATCTTTGCAATAGAATGACCGTCATGCCAGTGCATTTTCCTTTTTTTTTTCTTTTTTGAGACAGAGTCTCACTTTGTTGCCCTTGATGGAGTGTTGTGACGTTATAGCTCACAGTAACTTCAAACTCTTGGGCTCAAGTGATCCTCTTGCCTTAGCCTCCCAAGTGGCTGGGACTACAGGCACACTCCCCACCCCAACATCTGGAGATAGATATATATATATATATATGTATGTATATGTGTGTGTGTGTGTGTGTATATATTTTTTTTAAATTTCTTTTTTCGAGACAAGAGTCTCAGTATGTCGCCCTCGGTAGAGTGCCATGGCATCACAACTTAAAGCAACCTTAAACTTTTGGGCTTAAGCGATTCTCTTGCCTCCCAAGTAGCTGGGACTATAGGCACCTGCCACAGCACCTATTTTTTTTTGTTGTTACAGCTGTCATTTAGCGGGTCCAGGTTGGGTTCAAATCCACCAGCCCTGGTATATGTGGCTGGAGCCCTAAGTACTGAACTATGGGCATGGAGCCCACTTGGCTATTTTTAAAGACAGGATCTCTAACTCTTGCTCAAGCTGGAGTCCAACTCCTGATCTTACGTAATCCACCCGCCTCAGCCTCCCAGAGCGCTGGGATTACAGTTGTCTTTGTTGTTTTAGCAGGCCCCGGCCAGGCACGAACCTGCCAACCTCGCTGTATGTGGTGGCTCCCTACTCACTGAGTTGCAGGCGCCGCCGACTTTTCCCATTTTAAATGTGAACACTGAGGTTATAAATGAGAAGTCTAAAACCAAGTATAGGCTAGGCTCAATTCCTATAATCCTACTCTGGGATGCTGAGGCGGGTGGATTGCCTGAGCTCAGGAGTTCCAGAATAGCCCGAGCAAAGTGAGACTCAGTCTCTAGTAAAAATAGAAAAACTATCTGGGCATTGTAACAGATGCTTATAGTTCCAGCTACCTGGAAGGCTAAGGCAAGAGGATACCTTGAGCCCAAGAGTTTGAGGCTACTGGGAGCTATGACGCCACCTCACTCAACCCCAGGGCAACTGAGACTATCTCAAATAAATAAATTAAATTTCTTTAAAAAACAGGTATATCTGGGACAAACTAGGAATTATAAAGACAAATAAGATTTTGGGGGGCAGTACCTGTGGCTCAAAGCAGTAGGGCGCTGGCCCCATATGCTGGAGGTGGTGGGTTGAAACCCAACCCCCGGCCAAAAAAAGTTTTGTTTTGTTTTATTTTAAGAGACAGGGTCTTGTTCTGTCATCCAGGCTGGAATGCACAGGCATCATCACAACTCACTCCAACCTCAAACTCCTGGGCTCAAGAGATCCTCCTGCCACAGCCTTCTAAGTAGCTAGCACTACAAGCACCCACCGCCACGTCTGGATAATTTTTCTTATTTTTTGTAGACCCAAGGTCTCAGTAAGTTGCCTTGATTAGTCTCAAACTCCTGGCCTCAAGGGATCCTCTCACCTAAGCCTCCCAAAGTTCTAGAATTATAGGCGTGAACCACTGCACTGGCTGAGAAATAGGAATTTATGAAACCCCTGGGGACTACAGGAAGCCAGAGAAACATTCTATTTTATTTCTAGCCAAGCTTCCCCCAAGTCACGGTAAAACTATGTGAGCATCTGGCTTAGAAAACAAAAGTAGGCTCGGCGCCTATGGCTCAACCGGCTAAGGCGCCAGCCACGTACACCTAAGGTGGCGGGTTCGAATCCCCAGCCCGGACCCGCCAAACAAC